TGTTTTGTTTTGTTTTGTTTTGTTTATATGCCCGTTGGCCATTTGCAATTTGGAGATGTGCCTTCGAGTTCTTCTGCCCATTTTTGACTGGATTGTTGACTTTGTTTTGTTGAGTCACATGAGTTCTTTATAGATCTTTGTGATCAGTCCCTTACTATTTCCTGGAGCAAAAAATCTCCCCTTCAGTGGGGTGTCTCTTAGTTTTGGTTGACATCTCTCTTGAGATACAAAAGCTCTTTAATTTCACGTCGTCCCAGCTGTTTAAAAGTCACCAGGGAAAATGACCTTCTTCCTTAACTCACAACTGGGACATCCGAGTTCCAAGGATGAGTGGGGCGTCAGGAAGAGGTCACGGGCTTTGTGGCTAAATCAATGACTGTAGGGCCCACAGGGCACGGGGCAGGTTCTTTTTGGATCCAGGCAGAGGATAAAGGAGATTCCTGGAGCCCTAAGTGGCTTTTTAGGCTTTTAATGATCTTTCCCCACCATTTGCATAGTGAGAGGGACAGGCTGGGGGGCTCTGTGGCCGGAAGCTGGCTAGTCTCCCAGGCCTAGCAAATCTTTATTCTCTGATAGTCTCTCCACCGCTCTCCTCTGCCCTCTGGAACACACGGTCCCCCCTGACGCTGCCCTTATATGCTCAGCCTCCAGGCTCAGGTGCGCCCACTCACACACACCCACACCCCCTCCAGGTGTCCACCATCAGGCACATGAACCCGGGCCCACACTCCCAAGCGCCGCCTGCATTCAAGGCCACAGGTGATAGCCACAGAGGGCCATGGTGCAAAAGCCTGCGCCGTCTTCACCTACCCTCAGTGGCACTGAGGGTCACTGCCAGGCCTTGCCACCTGAACCTTTGCTAGAATTGTCGGGGCCCCAGGAAGAAGAGGAAGAGGCTGAGGGAGGTACTAATAGTGCTCATCTTGTCTTCTGTCCCAGCCACCAGCCTGAAGCCTGGTCACTGTAGCTTGTGGAGTGATCAAATACTGTAGCCAGATAAAATACAGGACACTCAGCTAAATCTGAATTTCAGACAAATGCCCTGCACCCTCCCACCCCACTCCTCACAACACCCAGAAACAATCAGCAGAATCCCAAGACAGCTGAGGGATTAGAGACATTCAAACACCTATAGAAAAGAAAGTGCTGGAAAGGGGATATTTTTCCTCTTTCTCAGGGCTTTGGGCTGTTCTAATTATCACATTGACATAAGATTAACAGGAGAAAAAGACAAGCTTAATTTTGCCTGCGCGGAGGCCCTCACATACTGGACCTAGAGAAACCACCAGAACATCTTGCTTTTTTTTTTTTTAACCCATTTCAGACACAGAAGAAAATGAGAAGAAAAGAAAGTGTGTCTGTTTCCATCTTCTGCTCACTTTGATTTTTTTCTTATTTTAAAAGATTTATTTATTTATGCATATAGAACTGAGGTATGGCCAGAGGTCCAGGGGGTGAGAGGCTTCACCAGAGACAGAGTGGGGAGCAGAACAGGCAGATTGATGAAGTCCACTGCTGAGGGGAGCAGCGGGCGGGTTAGGAGAGGTCTGCCGCGCCCTGTGGGTCACCTCAGGGTGGGGATGGAACTCACGCTGGAGTGGCTTTAGCTTCTTAGTGCTGTGCTTTAGCCCACTGCGCTACCTGGGAGGGCCCTATTTTCTTCCAAATTCCCTCTCTCTGGTACCTTCTTCCATGCCTTCCTCCCTCCATGTCAGGGGAAGTCTTCTTTTTTTGTGAGGGCAGAGAAACCCCAGTGTTATTTGCTTGCACAGGTGCCTCTTAAGTGACTTTAGTTCAAAATAATCAAGATGCCTCGTTTCTCCTCAGCGAGGATGACGGACGTGGCACCAGTGTGCATCCTAGCTGGGCAGGCCCAGTTTCCTTTCCCTAAAGAGAGACAATGCAGACAGGGAAGAAACTGGACTTGGCAAGCATGTAGGAGGTCATCTTTCTGGGAGGTGGAGGGAGGATCAGGAAACCTAAGAAGGCTGTGGGGGTGCAGGGGTGTACCCCCACAGAGGTGGATGAGGTGTTGCTGAGGGCAGCCTGACAGGGAGCCATGAGAAGACTCTGGCTCCTGAGGAAAGCAACGGTTCACCTTCAGGTGTTTCTGGTTAGGGGAAGATAAGACACACTCGAGAGTGATGGAAATAGGAGAGAAACAAAAACAGTCATGAAAATATGACAGAGTCAGAGCCAGGCGACAGCAGACCAGGTGAGAGAGACACACACAGTAATAATAAAAAAATAAAGTGAAACAGGCCCTCCCTGGTGGCGCAGCAGGTTAAAACGCAGCACTAAAAAGCTGAAGCCGCTTCCGCATGAGTTCGATTCCCACCTGCCCCGGAGGTGACCCACATGGCGCGGCAGACCTCTCCTGACCTGCCCGCTGCTCCCCTCAGCAGTGTACTTCGTAGATCTGCCTGTTCTGCTCCCCACTCTGTCTCTGGTGAAGCCTCTCACCGCCCCTGAGCCTCTGGCCTGTACCCCAGTTCTGTATGCACAAATAAATAAATATTAAAAATAAATAAATAAATAAAGTGAAACAGAAATCAAAAGAAACCGAGATAGACAAGCTCGGGGGTGAAATGTGAGAGAACAATGGAGAGGTGGAAAGTGAGAGACAGAACAGCGAGGAGACAGAATGGTTGAGTCCAGAACAACTGAGGAGGTCCAGGCCACCCCAGCCCAAGCCCGCACAGGAACGCGGCCCCTGCTCACCAACCAGCCCTTCCTGGGATGTCCAGTGGAAGCTCTGGCCTAAGAGGGGCCATCACCCAGGGGCGCCAGGAAGCCCTCCTCTCAGAAAAGACCCGCTCTGAGGGACACCGGACCTGGCAGGTGGCCTCCACTCAGGTGCCCTCTCCCAACCGGTGTCGTGCTCTTACCATTGTGCTGCAGCGACGCCACACACCCCACCTTCCTGTCCCCCGTCACTGCTGGTTAGCTCCAGGTGACCCCACTCTAGGGGCTCCGTCTCAGCTGCTGTCCTGGAGCAATAAACTCTGCTTGCCCAGCCTTTCTGCCTCAAGCCTTCCTTCCTTGCGGCCGGTCACAGAACTTGGCAACAGACTCATGGCGTCCGTCCCTCCTCTCTGTCCTTTTTCCTTTCACCCTTCATAAGCTCTTGATTATTTGTCTCCTTTCCCCATACATTTCTTTTCTTACATTAGTGTTTGTTTGGGACGTATTTGATTTCTGCACCCCAGTGTGGTCCCTGCGCCACCACCGCAGCCCCTCGGGCTCCCCCTCCCTTGCGTTGGGCCCTCCCCTCCCCTCTCCCCTTCTGTAGGCCTCAGCTGTGTCCTCTGCTAGGCTCCAAAGCTTTGGCTTTTTCTTCACCTTTGGTGGGTTCCTCTCTATGCCACAAAGAAGTGAAAACATTCCATATTTATCTTTTTCCTTCTGACTTATTTCACTTAGCATAATCTCGCCAGCTCCAGCCTTGATTATTTATTTCTTGACATCAACTTTTAGAGATTCCAACTGACCCAGCCAACTATTTGTTTTGGTTTGAATTATTCAGTCAACAAAGGGAAAGGAAAGGGGAGTGGACAGAAGAGTCAGAGAAAAAGCAAGCAAACACCTGTTTCCCTAGGAGACTCGGCCATCGAATGAAGGTGGTATCTAGACTCCAGTACACATTATAAAGGGTTGTCGGGCCCTCCCTGGCGGCGCAGCGGGTTAAAACACAGCACTAAGAAGCTAAAGCCACCTCAGCACGGGTTCGATCCCCACCCTGGAGGTGACCCGCATGGCGCGGCAGACCTCGCCTGATCCATCTGCTGCTCCCCTCAGCAGTGTACTTGGTAGATTTGCCTATTCTGCTCTCCACTCTCTGGTGAATCCTCTCACCGCCACTGCACCTCTGACCTGTACCCCAGTTCTGTGTGCATAAATAAATAAATCTTAACAAACAACAAAAAAGGAGCCCCCCTCTTTATGTCAATGATAACATCACCATGGACCTAAAATTTTATCCCTTGTAATGAAGTAAATTACAGTAAATATATGCTATGTTAACATAAACCATTCCAAGGAATAACAAATTTTCAAAATTGTGTTTAAGGGTCAAGGAAAAATTCTTGTGTGCTCCTTCATCAACACCATAGCAGGAGCAGAAAGGGGGGAATTGCGGGGTTAATTTTTTTTTTTTTTTCTTATTCGGGTTGGCGGCCGGGCTTGCCTTTTTTTCTTTCGGGTTGCCTTGACATTAGATCCTAAAGTAGCTCTGCTTAATGTCCACCCTTCTCCATTTCCAACCCAAATCCCACACAAGTCGCAGATGGTACAACCTGGGGGAAAGCCTGCCAGCAGCCATGCAGAGAGAATGTAGCAGAAAGCCTTGTTCCCCCACCTCCGGACATGATGTATGCCTTTCTGAGGCACCCAGCGCACCCCTGAAATCTGAGCAAGAGAATATGTGTCAGGAAACATTAAGAAAATTACCAAAAAAAGAAAAGCACAGGGATGGACCAAAGCTGAAAGTGAACCAGTAGTTTCTACCTTTTCACAGATCCTAAAGAATTATCCCAAAAGGGGCCCTCCCTGGGGGCACAATTAGTTGGGGCACAGCACCATGAAGCTATTGCAGCTGCAGCATCACGGCTTTGATCCCCAGTGGGGAGCTGACCCACAGGGCGCAGCAGACCTTTCCTGTCTTACCCGCTGCTCCCCTCAGCAGTGATTCCAGGCCATCTGCCTGTTCTGTTCTAGGCCCAGTTCTGTCTGTGGTGAATTCTCTCCCCCCAACCCCCCACCCCTGGCCTGTACCCCAGTTCTGTATGTATAAATAAATCTTTTAAAAAAAGGAATTATCCAAAAAGACTGAAGGCAGAGAGAGCCAACACTCATAGACTTTCGCACAGTTTTAAAGGTATAACACTGTATTTCCTTGTGTTGTTTTCATATTAATAAGCATTTCACTCGGGATGACAGGAAGTCTTTGGGCCAAGAGACTGGAGAGCAGTATCCAAGCCTAAGCCAGTGACGCTGTCTTCTCAGGCTCCGGGAAGAAGCCTTTCTACCTGGGGAGAGAAGGGAGAATCAGAGGCCCAAGCAGGGGCACAACTTTGGGGGGACTGGCTCCCCACACCGCCTTGCCCTGAGTCCTGCCAGGGGCTCTGCCCCCAAGAGCCCCGATATTCTGCCAAGGAATCAGGGACCAGATCAGGTACTTTAGGCAAGCCATCCTACAGGATATAATCGGATCCTCCCCGACTTCCTAATCTTAATGTGAGCAGAAATGGGATTCGTTATGTTGGGCTGCAGGACACAGCAGCAACAGAAAACGGTCAGACAAAAATTCAGCCTGAAGGTTACGTCTAACAGGTCTTGTCATTTGAAGGGGAACCAGAGCCCCAGGGCTGTCAAGAAGTCTCTTTTTTGTCATTGGGCCTGTGGGGCCTCTCTCTACTGTCCTCAAGGCGAATTTCAGGGCAGATCTCAACGGATCTCAATGACTTCCGAGAGCACTAACAGTTCCCAACGTCTCTG